TCCCTTGGAAATGGGTCCATTGGCCAATCCAATCTTTACGTCATCCTGGGCGGAGCTACACGTGTATTTCTCTAAGATTTCATTTCAGGTCCACATGACATTGGTAAGTGATAATAACCAATCCAGTGCAAGCTGTTTATTAATATTCATTTAACTAACCAATCACTGCCTCTCATCTCCGTAGAATGGTATCCTTGCTGGAAAGCAGGAGCGCTACGTCGCCAGTTTCATTCCAGACGCTGTGCTGTGGTAACGCGTTGATATCTGCAGTGTTAGTGATGGTCTGATCGACGATAGCAGGTCTAAGCTGATTGTACGAAACAAGTTGGACTGCGTGTTCTGGCGTAAAACCTTTCATCGAACTCCTAAGATTAACAAATTAAGACAATGCAGTAATTTCGAGGATTCGTTTTGATCTTGAAAGCGATTCATAATTCATATCCGGCTGTATTTTTATCAACTTCTATCTTTATCTACGTGACGCTCTCAATCGAGGCTAAAGTTAATCATTGTGAACATTTCAATAACATCACGCTTGATCAGATTCTTCTACAATGGCAAAACTGAACGCCGGTCTCAAAGTTTGTAATCTAATGGTACTTTTGGAGGTGGTCATTTTAGTCAGTGGACATCAATTTCATACACGGCAACAACTCATGTACGCTGCAGAAAATCGAGCACTGCAAGGGTTTGCATATGCGACCAAAACTCTGCGTTCTCGCGTCATCTGCGCACGGGAATGCAGCATGGATGAACGTTGCAAGTCGTTTAACTTTAACGACTGCAATAAAATGTGCGAGTTGAACCTTGCCACAAGACGAGAGCACCCCGAAGACTTCAATGCAACTCAAGGGAGTGCGTACTTTGATGCAGATGAGGACACACCTCTCTACTCACTGACTGATAGCTCATTCAATCGCTCCAAAAGTTGCAAGATGCTCTTAGATGCCGGTTATTGTTCAAACGGTATCTACACAATCTACCCAGAGGGATTCGGTAATGGCAGTCTTCGTGTCTACTGTGACATGGAAACTGACGGCGGCGGATGGATCGTGTTTCAGAGGCGACAAGATGGCAGTGTGGACTTCTACCGTAACTGGGCCGAGTACCAGTCTGGCTTTGGCGATCTGTCTGGTGAGTTCTGGTTGGGCAATGACAACTTGGTGACTCTGACGTCTGATGATTCAAGTGGAACATGGGAGCTACGCGTTGATTTAGAGGACTGGGAGAACAACACAGCATGGGCAAAGTACTCAGATTTCCAAATATCCCCGGGTGAGTACAATCTGAATATTGGCCAATACGATGCAAGTAGCACTGCCGGTGACTCTCTTGGTTATCACAGAGGACGTCCCTTCTCAACAAAAGATTCGGGATCAAATTGTGCACACGTCTTCACAGGAGCCTGGTGGTTTTATGGTTGTTTTATCTCTCACTTGAATGGTCCATATCACCCATTTGGAAGTGTCCAATTTAGCACTGGAGTGCAATGGGTGACATGGAAAGGGTATTATTATTCTCTGAAAACATGCAGCATGAAAATGCGTGAATTGAGACCATAAACCTCTGATACCTTGCAAACACGGCACTTGCAAATAAACTATAATGGTTTTTTTTTACCAATGGAATGTGACCCCAATGAGTCTTAAGTCGAATGAGATTTTTTCACTTTTTTTGCTTTGAAACATTGTACTTAACCATTTTGACATGTTTCTGTAAGCAAAATATCTTTGCTAATTATTTTTCACAAATTAACTACTGTATTAATTATAAATACTGGGATCACGTTCAAATTCAGCTTTCATAGAATCATATAATGGTTTTACTACTGCACAAAGTTGTTGCAAAGTGGTATTTTTTTTACAGTTTTGAAATAAAAGAAACCTCTTTTGCGATTATCTCCAATAGACTTTTTCTTCAAAATCCTTATATGTGGCTCTTCGTGAAAAAGGTGACGATTTTACCCATAATAACACAAACAAATATAAAGGTATGAAATGTAGTATTCAGAGAAATAGACTACCCCGACCCATAGAGAATGTCTTGGTATTATTTTTGTGAAACGTTCATTAATATTGAACAAATGCCAACGTATAATATTTTTTTCCTCACTTTTTGCAGGGTAGCATGCAGTGAACAGAAAGCTTGGGCATTTTGTTTCGGATGAAACTGTTATATTTTAAATCTATTTTTCCAATTCATATTTTGCTGACTCTAATTTAGTACGATGAATTTCTGACACCGAGCATAGTGCAAAGAGATTTTTTTGGTCTATCTTTATTGTCAAAGAATTCACTTATGCCTCCTTGAAATATTAAAGCTTTTTGGTCTGCTTTTGCAATCTAGTTACTCACTATGACCGCTTACTTTGCCTTACAGTAATTCTTAAACGAGAGAGTTTAAAATTAATGGTTTTGACGTCATGCAATTAACATGTAATAAGTTACATGAAAAGTGGAAGTTCAAAAGGAAAAAAGCAATGCTAGTTGATCTGAAACTGAATGTGTCCAGTTTTTAAGGCATACATGCACTCTCTTTTTTGGTTAATATGAGGTTTTCTCGTCCAATTTCAAACCTCGCTCATTCGGTCTTGCAAACTTTCATCCAAAGCACATGAAAAATGCTAAAATGGCCCCCCAAAAAATCAAAATATTTCATTGTATCTTTGTCCATGAGTGAAAAGTCGGCAGCAAATCACATAACTCGGGCATGTAATTTGAGAGCTTTGGATTGCAGTTCCGCCCATGTTCAAATTCAGTGAAATTTGTTCAAGGCATGTGTCAAAAATGACCGTTAAGAAAGGTTTATCAAGGAATGTACAGCCGACTAGCCTTTTATAAGAAAAGTAAGATGGCTTGAAAAGAATGCACAACACATTTCGTAGACCTTAAACTATTGGAAAGTGTCAATGTAATAGAAACATATACGGTGGACACTTATAAAACACGAAAAAACTAGATAAACTTAACACATTTATAGATTGACACCAAAGTGGTTCTTTCATAAGAGGTGTGATCATTTCGATGAATTGGAACCTCAAAAAGAGATATTAAAAATCACAGCCATTTCTTTAAATAAAACCACGATATGTTTCAACGAAACTGATATATTTTAAAGCCAATGCGATTGACGTTTAGCATAATGCAATTTCCACATGACGTTGAACCATAATGTCATTGCCCTTGAATGAATACTTGTATCAAGTTCTTCTATTTCGTGCTAATTCCAAAACCAACTAACACAATGAGATTTGCTTGCAAGAAAACTTTAAAGACAAGCTTATTTCATAACATTTATGGAATTGAAAGCTCTACCTGCTAATTAGAAACCGTATTCATACTCAAATCCCTGACACCTCTCAGAAATGGAATGAACATTCTTCCTGAATGAATGAACAAGTTGCGAATTTGAACAGAAAAACCTTTAATTTGAAGAAAAATGAATTATCTCAATATTTACCTTAAACGACGACGACTTGTTTGGAGTATAAAACAAGGTAGCCCGACCTATATATAGACCATTTGGGGTGGATCTCAATGTGACATTTTGCTTTTCTGCTTGTATAGTTACTGCATTATATAAAATTAATATTGACCTAAGGCATTGAATGACCTGAGCGATAAGAACCAAACTCAGTGTTATTCATTCTTATCAATAATTCTTGTCTAGCTTGTATATTGCGGCACAAAGAAAACAGGTTCGAATGACCTATGACGTTGAATAAACCGAGTGACGAGAACCAATCCATGATTGATTTTTACCGATTTATTAAAAGTTTTCGGTTTTTTTTAAGAGTTCGATTCTAGTACTGTGTGAAGCAGCTGTGACACGCTGAGGCTATGCCTCAATACAAGTATATCTACCCTTCCATCTACATGCAGGGTGTATCAAAATAAAGGTAGTCCAAAAACAATGGGCTCACGTGTACACGCTAGGAAATTGTACAATGTCAAAGAGGTTTCATCTTAAATATTAGTTCGTGTACCTATTCACTCACAGATGACCGAGCACCATTGATTACAAAACAAAGGCAAACAAACCTATTTGTCCAAATTCGCTGTATACGTGATAGGGTACACTGTTGCCCGTAAATAAATTAATAATTCCAAAGATTTAATGAGGCCTTGCTCAATTGAAATGACGGTGATTGTTCTAAAAATATCACTATTGTTTTTCACTGGGTATCAACAAAACAATATTTGTTTTTAATAAATAAACAGAACTCGGATCTGGATTCCTCTTGATAGCAACGAAACTGTAAATTTGGTTATAATTCACCAACCAACTTTCCTCTTCGGTTATGACATTTAGTATACTACAGTTTAAGAGTGCTGCTATTTTTAATACCAGTACCGCATTATGGCATACAGCGCCAGTCAGCAGGCTAGCTGTATACCTTGGCATCGAAGAAGTAATTTCGTAATGTCTACAGCCGAAGAGTGTAGTCATAGTAACTATCGCAAACAGCAATACTCCCCAGTCTAACCTATTCTTATTAAATCGAGGGACAAAAATATCTATTGTAGGAGGTCGGCTTGTTATCATCGGTACTACTTCTTAATTAAGAATGCTGCCGAAATTCAAGGCGTCTTCATTAAGTGATGGTTGGTGGAATCCAAAAGGGCTTTCTTATTAAATATTGAACATAGAATCAGAGAGCGTGTAATTGATATCAAAGGCTGCATCTTTATTATTACAGGACCGACTTCAAATACGGTGACCAGCAACTAAACCAAATAAGAATTTAATGCTACGTAACGTGTTACCTTATCTTACAAAGCAAGAAGACTACTCTTATCACTCCTGCATCACAACAGTTAGCCAATCAAATGCTACGGTTTGTTACTGGCGGGAAAACTGACCAATAACAGGGAATGACGTATTACCCCCTGTAGACCAATCAGTGACTTACACATCGTCTGCCTCTACCCATTTCTTTCTATGCAATACCAAATTCCATCACCAGCTATCAACGATACCATTCGCGTCATCTACGTTGTGGTGTTAAGAAGTCTCAGATGCAAAATGGCGAAACACAACTTTGTTTTCGAGTTATTTTACGTAGTGTCATTGGTATTCCAAGGTACTATCTTGATTGTCTCCGGATTGGGAACTTCATCTTACACCCGGAAACATACATTGTATGCTGCTGACAATCTTAAACTACAAGGGTTTGCATATGCAACCAAAACCGTGCGATCTCGTGTCATCTGCGGACGGGAATGCAGCATGGATGAACGTTGCAAGTCGTTTAACTTTAACGACTGCAGTAAAATGTGCGAGTTGAACCTTGCCACAAGACGAGAGCATCCCGAAGACTTCAATGCAACTCAAGGGAGTGTGTACTTTGATACAGATGAGGACACACCTCTCTACTCACTGACTGATAGCTCCTTGAATCGCTACAAAAGTTGCAAGATGCTCTTAGATGTCGGTTATCGTTCAAGCGGTACCTACACAATCTACCCAGAGGGATTCGGTAATGGCAGTCTTCGTGTCTACTGTGACATGGAAACTGACGGCGGAGGATGGATCGTGTTTCAGAGGCGACAAGATGGCAGTGTGGACTTCTACCGTAACTGGACCGAGTACCAGTCTGGCTTTGGTGACCTGTCCAGTGAGTTCTGGTTGGGCAATGACAACTTGGTGACTCTGACGTCTAATGATTCACGTGGAACATGGGAGCTACGATTTGATTTAGAGGACTGGGAGAACAACACGGCATGCGCAAAGTACTCAGATTTCCAAATATCCCCGGGTGAGTACAATCTGATCATCGGTCAATACGATACAAACAGTACTGCCGGTGACTCTCTTGGGTATCACAGAAGTCACTTTGGGTATCACAGAGGACTGCCCTTCTCAACAAAGGATCGTGACAATGATGATTTGGGTTCATCAAATTGTGCACAAACCTACACAGGAGCCTGGTGGTTTAATCATTGTTTTCTCTCTCACTTGAATGGTCCATATCACCAATTTGGGAGTGTCCAATATAGCATTGGAGTGCAATGGGAGACATGGAAAGGGTATTATTATTCTCTGAAAACATGCAGCATGAAAATGCGTAAATTGAGACCATAAACCTCTGATACCTTGCAAATACGGCACTTGCAAATAAACTATAATTTTTTTTTACCAATGGAATGTGAACCCAGTTAGTCTTAAGTCGAATGAGATAGTTTTGAATATAAAACCTTTTTTCAATTCAAACACAATGGGAAACAGAAGATGCAGCCAATATTTCGTCACCATTTTCACGAAGAGCCACATAATTATTTAAAAAAATACAATGTTTTCGATTTCGATTTCGATTTTTTCACTTTTTTGCTTTGAAGCATTGTACTTAACCATTTTGACATGTACTTGTAAGCAAAATATCTTTGCTAATTATTTTTCAGTAATTAACCACTGTATTAATTATAATTACTGGGATCACGTTCAAATTCAGCTTTCATAGAATCATATAATGGTTTTACTACTGCACAAAGTGGTATTTTTTTACAGTTTGGAAATAAAAGAAACTTCTTTTGCGATTATCTCCAATAGACTTTTTCTTCAAAGTCCTTATATGTGGCTCTTCGTGAAAAAGGTGACGATTTTACCCATAATAACACAAACAAATATAACGGTATGAAATGTAGTATAAAGAGAAATAGACTACCCCGACCCATAGAGAATGTCTTGGTATTATTTTTGTGAAACGTTCATTAATATTGAACAAATGCCAACGTAATAATATTTTCCCCCCACTTTTTGCAGGGTAACATGCAGTGAACAGAAAGCTTGAGCATTTTGTTCGGATGAAACTGTTATATAATCTATTTATCCAAGGCATATTTTGCTGACTCTACACCGAGCATGGTGCAAAGAAATGTTTATGTCTATTTTTATTTTCAAAGAATTTGCTTATGCCTCCTTGAAATATTAAAGCTTTCTGGTCTGTTTTTGCAATCTATTTAGTCACTAGGACCGTTAACTTTGCCTTACAGAAATTCTTATTCGAGACAGTTTAAAATTAAGGGTTTCGTCGTCATGCAATTAACATGTAATTAGTCACATGAAAAGAAGAATTTCAAAAGGAATTAGGCAATGCCTTTAGTTGATCTGAAACTGAATATGTCCAGTTTTTAAGGCATACATGCACTCTCTACTTTGGTTAATATGAGGTTTTCTCGTCCAATTTCAAACCTCGCTCATTCGGTCTTGCAAACTTTCATCCAAAGCACATGAAAAAGGCTAAAATGGCCAAAAGAAAAAAAATCAAAATATTTCATTGTATCTTTGTCCATGAGTGAAAAGTGGGCAGCAAATCACATAACTCGGGCATGTAATTTGAGAGCTTTGGATTGCAGTTCTGCCCATGTTCAAATTCAGTGAAATTTATTCAAGGCATGTGTCAAAAATGACCGTTAAGAAAGGTTTATCAAGGAATGTACAGCCGACTAGCCTTTTAAAAGAAAAGTATGATGGCTTGAAAAGAATGCACAATATATTTCGAAGACCTAAAACAATTGCAGTGTCAATGTAATAGAACCAGATAAGGTGGACCTTGACGATAAAACTAGATAAACTTAACACATTTAAAGATTGACACCAAAGTAGTTCTTTCATAAGAGGCGTTGTTAGAAAATTAATTTATAGATGATTGGCAGTTATTATAAAACACATGCATGGTACACAATCTTCCTATCTTGGACAATTTAGCTGGCGCTCTTCAATAGTGCCGACGTGCATAACCGAAAAAAAACCTCTTGGCAAAAACGACACTCTTGAGAAAATATTTGGAGTGGGATAAAACCCCCTCAGCTTCGGATACTACGCCATTGACATATGTTTGTGATCATGTCAAACTGTCCCCTTCCACACCCTGTTTTTTAACTCTGGAAACCGCACCACGACACAATCTGTCACTTTGCTATACTACTGTAGTTCTTGCTTGGTAACGGCAGTGGTATCTGTTTTTAAACAATTATCATAAACAGCCCCTGAACCCACTTTCACTTTTCTATAATGTCGAAGGGGTAAATAGAAGAGAAGATGAAGACATTCGTAAATATAACAATATAATTTATTTCTTACGTGAAGAACACTTGTGCTTATCTGTATATAAAAAACACTAACTGGAACCACGTCGCTAGAACAACATTGGTGATTTTGGAATGTCGTAACCGAATAAATTTGCCTTCTCTGAGAGGAAGGGGTGAGCAAAGCCCTTAGCTGGGATTGGGCATACCTCCATCAGTTACGCTGTGCTGGTCTCTTCTTCTGACAGACAAATTGCTACAAAATTTGTGTCAAACACTCGCTCCTGCAAGGCTCCCACTTAGTGCGTGGTAGAATTGACTGCTTTTAAATATTGATGTAGCTCTGAACAATTCCCGGTTTTTCAAATGCCACTTGTTTTCTAGAAATACAAAAGATACACAGAGCAGAAAACTGCAATAACGTGGTTGGATCTAAATGTGTTTATTCTGCTATTTTGCCTGTACATTGCATAATGTAAATAATGACATATGACAAGGAATAACCTGAGTGACAAGAAGCAATCAATTATTGATTCTTATCACTCAGTTTGCTGTTTGTTATTTTGCTTGTATATTGCGCACTAGCAAAAATACGGTTCGAATGACCTATGACGTTGAATAAACCGAGTGACAAGAACCTATCCATGATTGATCAGTTTTTCCAGTTTTTTGAAAGAGTTTTGTTTGCAAGAATGTGATTCTAGTAGTAGGCCTATAAGTGGTAAGCAGCTGTAGGGATACTAGTGCTATACTTCAAAATATAATATGTCTACACTTAAATCTACAACTTCGTCTACAGGAAGTGGCATTGATACTCTCGCAGAATATAGTATTCAGTAAATCGGCGAATCAAGAGGGACCACAATAGCTATTACGCCCTCTACAAAAATGCTACTTCAGTTGTAATTTTCTTTTATGATACCAGAAGACGAAAGAAGTCGAGGTTTTTACATCGATGCTAAACACACTCTTTCTCATCTTGGAGACTGATGATATAATTATAGAAAGAAGCAAATTAATAAAATTGCGGAAAGAGCGCCCCCTAGAGTGAAATGACATTCAATCCCTCCTCCAACCCCCACCTCGCTTTTCACATTTGAACAGCGGCCTGTAGTTCTCCCCCCCCCCCCTCCATACTTCGGTCGGTATTCCGCTGTGGTACGAACATTTGCTTTTCCATTTTCACAGCGTCTCTATTTTTCACGAGTTCCCCTGTTTGACGTTCCGCGATCGTACTTAATGAAGAGCGCCACCTATTGTCCACTAATGTCCGCTTTGAATGACGCCTCCATATAAAGATGATTTGGCGCCCTCTACCATTTCAACATTCTAGCCCCCCCCCCCCCCCCCCCCCCCGGTGGTGGGAACGCTGGCCATGCCGCTGTCTACTGCACGCCGCTGTCTATTTCTATTGTTCTATTAAAACATGAACCGCAGAGTCTCACTGACTGGTTGCGTTTGTTAAATAGCTCATCTGGGTCCACACGGGTGAGCCCCATGCCGTTCGGTTAGCTCTGACGTCATTGCCGGTCTTCAGCAAGGTCAGCCAACACATCATGAGACTCTGCTCGTGGAGGAGCAGAATCACTGGTAGAAGTACGACATGCAAGGTAATTAAGGAAATTGCGACTTTGGAGGCTTTAATTTCAGCCCTATTTTTTTGAGTTTTGCAATTGACTAAAATTCAGTAAATCTCAAACTAAGGCCCAATCCGAAACGGGCGTTTTGTCAGTGGCTACGGCCGCGGCTACGGGCATCACGTGAGGATTGTGATGACCCTAGGTTGAGCGTTCGATTAGCCCGGCTGTCATGGCTGACCCGTCTGCCTTTATACCCGTTTCGACCCGGGTTAGCTAAACGAACGCACCCTTTGATTGCATGATGACGAGAGGAACAGAGCACATCCAATCTATAGAGGGCGGAACACAATATACACGTTACCGAGAACAATTCTATCCATTCAGGGGAACAGTAGACATCCAATCTATAGAGGGCGACAAACAATGTATACCGTATTCCGAGGACCATCCTATCCATTCAAGGGAGCAGCGCACATCCAATCTATAGAGGGCGGCACACAGTGTACACGTTACCGAGAACAATTGCATCCATTTATTAGGGGGACAGCGCACAATCATCCAATCTATTTATGGCAGCATACATGTACAACATGTACAATGCAAGACATCCAACCTCTTTGACCTCTGGATTTTGACCAATCAGCGGGCGGTTTCGATATTGAGCCTTCGGTCATTCACCCGTAGTCTAGGTTTCAAAGATCCATGCCATTGTATTACAAAACACTGCATTTGAATTGAACACTTCTAATCCGACATTTAGTCCTGTTTGGAAATGAAATGGCCTCACGAGTTTAGTTAGGTCGACTTCTACAAGTACACGTAGACTAGTGCATCTCAGTGTACTCGTGCATCGGATACAAAATATGAAACAATTCTGTGGAGGTCAAAAAAAATATGGCAAGAAAAGGGCAACCCATTGATAGACCGCGCGAGGATTCCGGAAGCTATGTGACCTTTTACTTTTAGACTCTATTCCAAGCGCGGGTAAAGTATGTTGACTTAAGGGAAAACTCAAAATGGTGAAGTTTCTACAGTAAACTTTATATGAAGAAATGGAGTCTGAGACTCTGAAATCACTCTAAGGGATCATAGTCACTTATAGTGATCACAATAACTTGCATTTTTGCCATGTTTACTACACATTCTTTGGAAAAAAAACAATTGCAAACTACAAGTTCGCGTTTGTTGAGATACAAACGCAGGGTGGTCGGGCATACATGTACTTCATTCGACACTGCCCAATAGAGTTATGAATATCTTTATGACGGAACAAAGGATCAAGATATGTTACACACAGTGAATTTGATTTGGAAAAACATTCATCCTGTATTAAAGGTATCATACACATCAATTAACATTTTGTGTACACGTACAAGTTTGTTTCTGGTTCGATGACGTCATCAGTCAGGTGGAAGTGAATGCTAATTTAGCTCGGAGAGGATGTAATATGTTCATTATGACGTAAAAACACCATATG